CTACCTCATCTCTGGCCCAAACAACTGCACTGCCCTCCAAATTGGTCTTCCTCCCTGGTCCCTTTCCAGTCCATTCTCCACACATCAACCAGAGTGGCATTTTTCCAAATGCCAATCTGCTGGTGTTGCCCTGCCCCGTCTTCAGACTTTTCAGTGGAATGCCATGGATCTGGTAACAGACCAGTATTCTAACATGGTTCCAAGTCTCTTTAACGCATCCTGTCTCATGAGTCTTTGCCCTTTGATCTCTGCACTTAGACCAAGCTGATGCTCCACCAGGTCCTTAAATGAGCCACCTTCAGCCACATGCAAGGCTTTGACATATTGCTGGTGGCCTGAAAAACCACCTCCATTCTAAAGTTTACCACCATACTGTCTCTGTTGCCTTTATTTCCCAGCTCAAGTACCACTCCCTTGCCTAAGCTTTTCTTAATTTCCCATACTGGCTCAGGTGTGTACATTTTATTCAAAACACTTTAAATAAGCTCCTATACACTTATCTGTGTGTTTCTTTGATTAATATCAGTTCTCTTTACCAGAAGGTAAGCTCACGAGAACAAGGACCATGTCTCCATATTTACCGTTATGCCCGCCTACGCCTAGCATAGAGCCTAGAACGTGGTCAGAGTTGAATATGTATTTGAATAAGTACACCGTGATAAGGCACAATACAATTATTACGTGATTCAACTATCTTGTGTTCTAGTTGTTGGTGAAACAACGATGTCTGTCTCTAGAATAGGGATTCTCAAACATTAGTGATGATCAGAATCACCTGGAAACCTTATGGAGCATACTGGCTCCCATCCCCAGCATTTCTGATTCAGTAGGTGTGACTGTGTCAAAACTCTGCATTTCTAACCAGTGTCCTGGTGAGACTGTTGCTGCTGGTCGGGGGACCAGACTTGGAGAACCACTGAGAGACACATACATTTTAGAATACAGTTCTTACATTTTTGAGAAATCATGCCTTCTTCCTCTATTGCACTAGGCACAGCGCAGATGCTACAGGAAATGGACAGGTTTGCTCGTCCTTAGTCATTTCTAGCCCTTCGGAGAAGCTCCTAGATTTCAACAGCCGTGCCTGGCATTGCTCAGGGATTCAGTTTCCAGCAGGGATTTACTCACTAGCAGGAGTCTCATGATTCTCAACAGGGATAAGTGCCTGCAACTGAAACGAAAATGGGGAGGGCGGGCACGGAGGCTTAGGTTTCAAACATCTTTCACTGAGGAATTAGTTATAAAGAGACACACAACAATAAAGCATGAACTGAGCCCAGACACCGTCATTCACAGCAAGCGTACCCTCTGAAACTGGCCCCACGCCAGCTTGGAGCCAGGTGCCTCTCTTGGATCTGAGTCAAGTGCCCTGCGGCCACCTACGGAGCACTCAGGTAGGATCCTGAAAGCCCCTCACCTCCATCTGCCCTGCTTGATTACTATTTCAGGTCCCACCGAAGGACTCCCAGCTGGCTGGCTGGGGTCCAGCCGCTCAGGCTCGCCCGTCCCATCATCTGTGCCACCATGGGGAGGCCGGGCAGGACGGTCGGGAGAGGAATGACAATTGGGCCACCTTCTTTGCTTGGAGCTCGCCTCAGAGAGGTATTGTTTACACATGATGAGAGTGTTTATGGCTTATTATCCTGGGCCTAGTGGCTGCAGAAAGAAACAGGAGGGCCAGACCTTCAAAGCTAAGATACAGGTTTTCATAAGAAACAAAACAAAAGACTAGGACGTTCTGGGGGGTAGGCGGGGTGGAGGGGCGGAAGATCAAGTGTACGTAGAGAAGGGCATTTATAGCAGGTCGTGCAAGCGGATAAGCTCACTGGCAGCACACGCTGATGCTCGAGTGCAATGGAGAGGGCGGGCACGGTTTGCCCAAGGGCCCGTGTCTGAGTACATGCACGGCTAGCTGAATTGAAGGCAGAGGATGTGTGCTGGTTTTAGTAAACATTTGAAAGTACCTAGTGTGATGGGCATGTGAATGCCTCACAAACACTCACCTTCAGGCAGGGTAATGGGCCGAATTCCGTGGCTGCGTTTGTGACCCGGCCATGCTTCGGGTGGACTGCTCCTAGCCTGTGAGTGAGTGAGAGCTGCCGCTATGCTAAGGCAGACCCCCGGCCACACACACACACCGCTAGGAAATGCAGCACTCCTCTGCTGGCTCGCTCCGGCTTGAGGGCCCTTCCGTGGGCTTCTAGAACCTTCTTAACGTTGCACAGAAATCTCAGATGCTCCCACCCAGCCACCGTTCCCTCTCGCCTTCACTTGGGGTCAGAGTCGCGTCACGGACTGATGGGTTTGCCAGACCTCCTGGCTCCTCCCATTTCTTCTCACAAACATTTACCCCCAAGGTTCTCTCACAGTTTCTTCTTCTTTGCAGAGTGTCCTCGTAACATGGGAGGGTACAGACTATTTATTCTTCACCCGGGTGAGGAAACAGGAGCTCCTACTGAAAGGGGCAGATTGAGGTTCTAAGAAATAGAGATGTTTCTTTTGTCCCTTGGTCCAGGCCCTCATTATCCACATCATCTTCCCGGATTCTCTCTGTTTTTTGCCCTCTGTTAAGTTCCCCTCTCCCAACACACCCACACACGCACCTGCACATGCATGCACGCACACACACACACACATACACACACACACTCATTCTTCTGCAGAGGGTCTTCAACAAAGGTCATCATCCCTGGAGAATAATTGGGCATTCAAGATCCCCTCTCTTCATGACCCCTTTTTAGACTTCTTCTCTCCCACCTCAAATGATAATCCAGCATCTCTAAAAACCACCCACCATGGCAAAGGTCATCCTCAAGTTTCCAGCCTGAAAACCTACTCTATTTGTGGAGTCATAAAATACAAAGAGTGAAATAACCTAACAGCCCTATGATGTATATACTATGATTCCCAGTTGCTTTTTATCTGGTAGGCAATTGTGTGCAATTGTTATGAATCAGGAAACGTAAGTCAGATGCTGTGTTGCCTTAGGAATCCTACTCAGCCTCTCTGAGCTTCCATTCTGTCATTTGAGATGGTGACATTACAGAGCTATTGTGAAGATTATAGAAGATAATATTATATGTGTGAAGAGTTAGTATAGGACCCTACACCCTTTAATGCTTATTGGGTGCTTACTATTATTAATACAAAAATAGTTACTGTAAAGAAGTAGGAACATGGTGGCACGCCTGGGTGGCTCAGTCATTAAGCATCTGCCTTCAGCTCAGGTCATGGTCCCAGGGTCCTGGGATCGAGCCCCGCATCGGGCTCCCTGCTCGGC